ATATAAAAAGAATAATTACAATTAGCTGAGGAAAAATAAAAGTTTAATCAGAAATGTTTTGTTGGAGAGAAATTGGTTGGTCCTTGGTCCTCTCCTGCACTGGAAATGGTTATTCAGAGCACAGCTTTCTGCAAAAGCAGCAAGCAAGCATGAGCAATCTACCCACCTAAGCCATAATTTAAGTACTGTCTGATCTGCATGCATACCTGACATCTGCACCGCTATTGTCCAGCTGTCTAATGCTCAGTGTACCATCCTCCTTGATATACAGGCCAGCACTAGATGGGTTGGCAAAAGTGGAGATAAATGGACCTAGAGACTGGAACGCAGCTTGGCGGACCTGGCAGGGTCAACAAAGTTTCAGTAAACGGATATCATTTTGTTAGTGCACTCTTCAGATTTAGAACCTGAAGTTTACAATTACATGTGTATGTTACGCGTCAAGTGTTACACATATCTCAGAACCGCAAACCCAGCTAAATCAATTTTGTTGGCAGGGCTGAAATGACAGTGTAAATTTTTGTTTTGCAGGCTTACTTAACCAATCTACAACCAAGATCACCATGCCACTGTGAGGTGCCTCCAGAGTTCTTCAGGTTTAGTGAAGGAATGAATATATACAGGACAAGAATCTTCTTCCAAGTTGTCACCACTACAAAGACCCACTCAGTAGCATTTTAACTGTTTATATTAGAGGCAAAGTCACCCATTGATCGCCTTAAAACTGGATGCATGATATGGCAATAGCAGGTTATATGCAGCTAATAAAGCAAACATGCAGTTTACATTGTATCAGAACATAAAGGCTCACAAGTTCTCAAGAGATGCAGTAGGCTGCCTGGTAAAACCTCTTTTCTACCACTGCTCTCTGAAATCATCCAAAGTGATTTTCCCATGGTGGTTCTTACCCATCTAGAAGGGTCACTGATGAGATTAATGAAAAGTGGGGAGAGTTTAGTCCTGCGAACTTCAGGAGAAACAGAGCAGGAAACCGCCATAAAGCATTCTGCACACGCCTTCCGAATGCCCCAAACATTGTCTGAGCACAGCTGGAAAAATCTGGGGATCTGAAATCAAGTACAATTTTGTGAGAGAAACTTAAAGGTTCGGGAGAACAAGTAGTTTAGAAACTGCTAGCCAATATACACAACACACTAGGGATGAGGAGATCTTTTGTGGGTATAAAGGGCTGAAAGCAGAAAGCTACATCCAAGAAAGAACTGAAACTATTCAAAACTTCAAAATGGTGAATTACTTACTTTCAATATATTAGCAAACATCTCTTCAAATGTCACTGGTGCCTTAAGAGCTCAAAGATCACACATTATACAACTTGTCAGAATAGTTCCAAAGTGCTTCTGATACAATGGGTTTTTCTAAGTTTTAATTACTTAATAACTAGAGTTGAGTATTGATCTAATTGTGTTGGGCTAAAGGGTGGCATTTGTTACCATATGTCCTCAGTATCGTTAGGGTACAAGCATGAGACACACATTCTGTAATAGGGCTCAAATGCATAATTCTCTAACTTACAGACAAAAGTACTCCGGTGAAACAAAGTGGTCAAACAGTAAATACATTTCCGCTTAGGTATTCTACAATCTTTTAGACTCGGGTCAGTACCTCAGGTCATAAATTTTGTCCTCTGTTTTGATAAATCCCCAGCATCCTCCACACTCAGTGTCTGTATCCTGTTGTCACGTTTTTCTTTTGGTCAGAGCCAACTTATAACCATTACCATTCCCTCTAGTTTTCGTTCTGTGACACCGGTAATCTCCCTTGCTCTCTAATCTTTCCCTAACCTTACATTCTGTTCCACCTGCTCCTCCCCATCTCTTTCAACAGCATGTAATCCATCATTCATCACCTCTCAACGTGCAAGAAGGAGCCATATTAAAGTTGAAGAATTAACACTGCTTCTTTCTTCACAGAAGCTGCCAGAGCTGCAGAGCTTTTCCAGCACTTTCTGGTTTTACTGTGTAAACCTAGCCTAGATAAATATTTGTTCTTGCTTGTATTCGTTGGTCAAATTGAGGGGAATGAAAGTGGTGATTCACAAACAGATACTGTGTTGCAGTGATTAAAAGATGGAAGGAGTCATTCACATACCAGATACTTCTCAGTTGCTTCTTGGCCAACTGTATTAGAGATATCTCCAAAATTAGTTGCACACACCTTAGGAAGTAGGGGAAAGAAAGGGCTTATATTGTCACATCAGGCAAAGGATTCTATTCAACTAGATATTGTACACAAATACAGATTTGTCACAAATTCAATGCCACAATTATTGTACAGTCTTGTTTTCCAAAATATCATTAGAGGCAGTCACTGTGCTAATCCAAATCAAACCTTTCCCCTCCAAAAGTGTGTTGATTTTCTGTTTCCCCCTCCCACCACAAATACTTAAAAACCTTCAGCACACTTTTAGTTTATACTTCCGAAGCACAATGCTAAGTTTTGCAGGGTGCCAGTTAAACTGGACTATAGATTCAGAAAGAGACAAGATAGTATCATACTATGCTTTGTCCACTACACTAAATAGGAATGGAAATAGAGATATTACAATCCTGTTTACCTTACGGACATGGAATAGCTTGCCATCACTGCACAGCTCACAGAATCGAACAAGCAGCAGACGCTCAGTTATTTCACCAGTCAATATGGAGGCCATTTTGCAAATTATCTAAATGGCAAGGGAACAGATTGTCAAAACAAGTTGTCATCATAAAGACCCAGAGAAAATACCTAGTAATGAACACAATGGAAAGAAACAGGTATTGAACAATTCTGACTGCATAAACGAGGTTCCCCTAAATTTATACTTCCAAATGCAGTTGCTGCTCTTTCAATAGCTAGTCCCTGCTCAAACGCCAGGTAACAATAACAAAGAAGATGGTGGTATTGTGGTTGGCAGATGGTGAAGATTGAATTCCATGAAAGAAAAGTCTGGAATAAAAATGCTGGTTGAGTGACAACCATATTGATTGTCATAAAAACCCAATTAGTTCACTAATGTCCTTTAGGAAAGGAAATCTGCTATCTTTACCTAAACCAGTTTACACATGACTCCAGATCAACAACAATGTGGTTGACTCTTAGATGCTCTGGCCAATAAATGATGGCCTACCTCTCAGAAGCAGTGATCTGTTTTGCACGGTGTTAGTCGAACTGACATTCACATTCCATTAGTGAATGTAAAACATGATAAAAAAACATGCTGGTAATACTCAGATTATGCAGTATCTGTTGGGAAAAACAGCTGACATTTCACATCAATGATCTTTCATCAGAACTGAAATTTTAACTGTTTTACAAATGCTGCCCAATTTCTGCATATTTCCAGAATTTTCCATTTCTATTTCATACTCAAGTGTTCAGTGATATGTTCAATGTATCTAACTGTATTTTCCACAAATTGTTGTGCATGAAACAAAACTACAGTAATTTATATTTACCATCAATACTAACCAAACAAATATATTTTCAAGTCTTTTTTACTTGATGAAGAAATTGCTGTAGTGCACTTTGTATACATTAAAAGGTAAAGTCACCACGGTCTTACCAGACCATCGTTTGCTCTCTCATTAGTGAGAAGTGACGGGTGGCAGTCTAACCCAAGAGTCACCACCCTCAGGCAAGGGAAAAGGTTGTGAGGGAGAGTTTTCATGGTAATCTCTGCCAGTGCAGGAACTGAACCCACACTATTGTCTCAACTCTGCATCACAAAGAAGCCATCCAGCCAACTGGGTTACTGACCCCTGACATACTGTGGCAGTGATGGAGGGACTGATTGTTGAAGATGGTGGTTACGGTGCCAACAAAGTTTGGAGGCAGGTTAATCACTACTTCAGATCTACTTTCGTTACATTGTATTTATATGGCCAGTGCAATTAAGTTTTGGGTAAACGTTAACTCCAGCATGCTGATGGTGGGGCTTCAGTTATGGTGGTATCATTGAATATGAAGGGGAGATGGTTATAGTTTTTCCTCTTGTTGGAGATTTTGACACTTGTGTGATACAAATGTTACTTACCACTTATCAAACCAAGCCCGAGCGTTGTCGAGGTCCTATGCACTCCTAAACTTTGCTCTATTTTGCTAGAATGCATTAACAGCGGCCCATGCGATTTTTAATGGAGAAGACCAGCTTTTGTATTTATAAACATGAAGTTTATAAACACGAAAATGAATCAAGTAGAAAAGTATTTCATGTAAAATTAATCAATTCAGTTATCTTTGAAACAATGGGTTATAAATCAATGTTTATCTTTCTAAACACTTACTAAGTCCATATACTTGCAAACATTTGTTTCTGGGAAAAGTTAGGGTATATTGTCACCTCTGCAGAAAATCATGTGCCCATTATGACTCACTCAATTTGAAACTACAGTAAGAAAGTCAGGCAGAAATTCTGCTGCCACACTGCTATCCAGACAAGAAAGATAAAAATGAACTTCCCAAGAATTCCATCCTGACTTCAAGTTAGACCTTAGCTCAAAAGGTAGGCAATGGTTGACTGGCATTCCAGTTTGAACATTGTGAATGTCAAAAAGACTACCTACTGCCACAGCTTCAATCTTGTAGTCATCATCACTGTCAGGAGCTGTGAGATCCAGAAGAACTGGGCAAACCTTTACCTCCACATCACTCCTGTCGATGAGCTCCTGTTCCAGCAATACCAACAGGGCAGCCTGACTTGTTTTTCTAACCTAAGAATGAGAAAGGAATAAAACATTAAAGGTGGGTCTTGTGGTACAGTAGTAATATGTCTACCTCTGGGCTGGAAAGTTTGGTTTCAAGTTCCAGCTGCCCAAGAGTTGTCTCTTAACATGTCTGAAAAAGCTGATAAAAAAAAATTATAAAATTGATCACTTACTGATACTATGGTACAGTGAGTTTAGGAGTTATGTGCTTGCAGATACTGTCTAATCAACCTGTTCAGAAATGTTATGACACACCTCTAGAGTAGGTGAGACTTGAACCCAGGCCCTGTTGTCTCATAACAGCCCTAATGCTTTGTGAATTTACATGTCAACCTTTTGCAGGGTCCATGCTAATCTTCTCTGTATCATCCCAATTTTACTACACGTGCTGCCAAAGTGAGATATGTACAGGTGATGTTTCATCCTGCGAATAAATCTAAATTGAGTAAAGATCTGCTCCAGTTGCTTCTTTTGCCCACTATCAGCTGTACATGCAGAAGGAGAACTTGGTTTCCTATTAGGTCTTCCATTCGAATATAACAATAACGCAACTTTCAACACCAAGTCAATCTTCTAAGACTCCCCTCGTGTAAATATATAAACCCCAACCACATGAGCCCTCATTTTGTGTTAATCTTTTATGTGGCACTATTCGATGTCTTTGGAAATTGCAGATATTGCATATAAGAATACAAGAACTAGGAGCAGGAGTAGGCAATTCAGCCCTTCGAGCCTGCTCCACAATTTGATATGGTCATGGCTGATCTCATCTCAGCTGCAACTCCACCTTCCTGCCTGGTCTCCATAACCCTTCAACCCTCTATTAATTTAAAATACGCTGGGCTTCCATTTTCCTATTTTCTTTGCCATGTCCACAGAAGTTTTATTTTTATGCTTTCACAGGATGTGGCTGTCACCGACTATGCCAGCATTTATTGCTCATCCCTAATTGCAAAGAGGGCAGATAAAAATCAACCACATTGCTCTGGAGCTGGAGTCACATATAGACCAGACCAAGTAAGCAGGTGGCAGCTCCTTTCCCTAAAGGACATCAGTGAACCAGATGGGTTTTTCCAACAATCAACAATGGTTCATGATCATAATTAGACCTTTAATTCCAGATTTTTACTGAATTCAAATTCCAACATTTGCCATGTGGATTTGAACCCAGGTTCCCAGAATACTTCAGTATATCAATTAACAGTCTAATGATAATACCACTTGGCCATTGCCTCCTCACAGTCTCCAAAGTAAGTTTGTCAAGCATAATTTCCCTTTCTCAAAACCATACTAATTATGATTTTGAAATCCGATATTAAAACTTCCTTAAAAATGGATTCCAGCAATTTCCAATGATTAATGCTAGGCTAAACACCAGTAGTTGCCCTTTGTTTCCTCCCCTTCCTTTGTTGAAAAAATTGTATGACATTTATAATTTCCAATCAGTTGTGACTGTTACAGTATCTAGGAAAATTTGTAAACTCAGAACCAACGCATCTACTCTCTCTGAAGCTAGCTCTTTTAAGAGCCCTCGGGCATAGACCATCAGGTCCTGAGGATTTGCTGTTTCTCATCACTCAAGGTTTTCTAATAATTCTTTGCTAATAACCATTCCTATTTAGGTTTCCCACCCTCGCCAACCCCTTGGCTATCCTCTACTTCCGGTATGTAAAAACAAAGGGCGAGATTTTCAAAACATGGCTCAGAAACCAACATCTGGATGAATTTTGGTCCTGACCCATTGTCTCTACAGTATTGTTCACACAACTCTGTTGTTAGCTTCATTGACAAGATTAGCTCCCAAACAGAGGCACCAAGTATTTCATGGACAGGGGAAGGACCAATGGCCATGGCAAGTTGTGCCAAAGACAGCAGATAGTACTCCAGAGGGCTTTCAGCAATGACAGGGCTGTTAGGGGTGCAGGAAGGAAAAATGAAGGTCTCCTGTTCACATTGGCACATGTAGATCCCAGAAAAGTCTGAAAAAAAGATTAAATATTTATTTGACCCAAATAAACCCAAAAGCAAACTGTTCCAGTTTCCTAAAATTAACTTTGAAAATTCAATTCTGCATTGGTCAGATTCCTCAGGAACTGGAGGGGCCATTATTGGCAGTGAGCTGGTTTCCATTCCTCTGTTGGCCCTCTGAAGATTGCAAATTGTTCCACCAGCTGTGGCACGATCTTTTAGAGGGCAATTTTCAATTCCTGTCAGTAACCAGGTCCCGACACTGTGAATCTGTGAAAATCTAGCTTGAAATATCAGTTCAACATCTACCATTTCCTCATCCCCCATGATTGTCTATTGGAAACAGAGATAGGAGAAATGAGTGCATACTTTAGCCACTCTGTTTCTTTTAGATATTTGTTAAAACTCATGCAATCAGTTTTTATATTAAGGGTAGCTAACAGTTACATTGCGTTGCAGAATAAAAAGTCACATTTGACGGGGCAGCTGGCCAAGCAGTTTAAGGCATTGGATTACGGCTCCAGTCTCCATGGAGGTGTTGGTTTGAATACCACTGTTGCCAATTGTGGTGATCCTTTGTCACTCTGATCATTTGCGTGGGTGAGATCTGTTTAAGTTGCACGCATGAAAATGCATTCAGTTTTGAGCACTGCAATCTATGACAGGGGACAGCACAGAAGTTCCATCTGGGCACCAGCCCCACTGTATTTCTGGAGTATTGTGGTTAACACGTTCACCTCACTCGCCAGTTCCTTTTCCTTTATCTTTCTTTTTTTTCCTCCTCTTTGTAGCAATTTTTTTTCCTTCACACCTCCCAAACTTGGGACTGCCTTAGACTACCTGGTGGGTGGAGTCAAGGGAGAAGGGTTGTGGCTGCAGCCCAGGGTGGAGCAGAGTGAGCATGGGAGCTGCAAGGGAGCAAGTAGCCTGGAGCCGGAGTGGCGGTGGAGCGTGCAGGTCAAGTCCTGGAGATGCAGCGGAGTGAGTCCTAGACGGAGGTCGGTACATGGAGGCTTGTCTACTGGGGCTGGCAGGCGTGGACTCACATTGGAGAGGAACTGGAACTTAAGTACTTTATGGTCACTTTTTATTATCATTCTGGAATTTTTAAACTCTATTCCCATGTTTACCTTTTGTTTTACTCTGTAACAACACAAAGTATCTGTACCTAGGTACTCTGTATCTAAGATGGCACCGAGAGGCAACATTACAAACGTTTTCACTGCACGGATTCAAATGCACATGACAATAAACGCTATTTTGAATGTAATTCTAATTTTTTTTGCCATTTATGAAATATTGGATCGCCCTCTGCTGGTTGAAAACTTTCCAAACTTCAGGCTTCACAACTTCACAAGCCATTAATTTCAATCCAATACAAGGTCCAACTTCCCTAGTGAGCTTCAGAAAGACCCTTCTCATTGAATATTCAATTTTTCTAATAGGATATATTTTTGTTGAGCATTTTGAAGCAAATGTCCATCAGCTGTCCCCTTATGCCTATTTAAATGACTTCATGCAAGTTTAAAATTCTTGCTCTGGAGATTCCACATTACAAAACAGTTAATTTTCAATGCCAAAGAAGATGCCTGGCAAAAATAAAATCTCTTTTAAAACAAAAAACCGCATGGAGTGTGGATCTGACACTTGTTGCCCTAGCCAAATTGTCCCTGAACTGAATGACTCGCTTCAAAAAGCAGGCGCAAATTATGGTGGGTGCTGGAACCTGTACCAAAAACAAAAAATGCTAGAAATCATAGTGGGTCAGGCAGCATCCGTGAAGAGAGAACAAGCTAACGATTCAACTCTAGATGACTCTTCATCAGAGCTGACGTGAAGTCTGGACGACACAGCATTTATGCAATTGTGTGGAGGTGGAGTGCTGGGCAAGAAAGGGTGCTGATAGTGCAGATTAAGTGATCAGAATGTAAGAGTGGTAGCATAATGGTGTGTCCAACCGTCAAACTGGAAAGAACAGATGGTCCCACTGGAGTGGAGAGGGGGGAAAAGAGGACACAGTGACAGAGAATGCAACAAGCTAAAAGAAAGGCAAGAAACAGGAGCAAGTTCACAATATTGAGTTCAACACCTTCAGATTAAGTCCAGAAGGTTGCAGAAAGCAGAGAGTTGGGATAAATGTGTCCTTCTCAGGATGGCAGCCGGTGACTAGTGGTGTTCCACAACAGTCAGTATTGGGACCACAACTTCTCACCTTATATATTAATGATCTAGATGAAGGGCTGAGGGCACTCTGGCTAACTTTGCAGATGATACAAAGATAGGTAGAAGGACAGGTAGTATTGGGGAGGCTGCAGAAGGATTTAGATAGGTTAGGTGAGTGGGCAAAGAAGTGGCAGATGGAATACAACGTGGGAAAGTGTGAGGTGATGCACTTTGTAGGAAGAATAGAGGCATGGCCTATTTTCTAAATGGGGAGAAAATTAAAAAATCTGAAGTACAAAGGGACTTGGGAGTTCTAGTTCAGGATTCTCTTAAGGTAAACTTGCAGGTTGAGTTAGTAGTTACAAAGGCAAATACGATGTTGGCATTTATTTTGAGAGGACTAGAATATAAAAACAAGGATGTACTTCTGAGGCTTTATAAAGCTCCAGTCTGATCACATTTAGAGTACTGTGAACAATTTTGGCCCCATAGCTCAGGAAGGGTCCTGGAGCAAGTCCAGAGGAGGTTCACAAGAATGATCCCAGGAATGATAGGCTTAACACATGTGGAATCTTTGAGGACTCTGGGGCTACACTCATTGGAGTTTAGAAGGATGAGGGGGGATCTAATTGAATCTTACAGAATACTGAATGGCCTGGACACAGTGGACATTGGGAAGATGTTTCCATTGGTAGGAGAGAGTAGGAACTGAGACTACAACCTTACAGTAAAGGGAGAATGCTTTAGAATGGAGAGAAGGAGAAATTTCTTCAGCCACAGAGTGGTGAATCTATGCAATTCATTGCCACAGAAGGCTGTGGAGGCCAGGTCATTGAGTATACTTAAGGCAGAGATAGGTTCTTGATTGTTAAGGATATCAAGGGGTACGGGGAGAAAGCAGGAGAATGGGGTTGGGAAACCTATCAGCCATGATTGAATGGCGGAGCAGACTTGATGGGTTGAATGGTTTAATTTCCTCTCTACAATCTTATAAGATCATAAGATTGTAAAGTGCCTAGTCTGAAGATGAGACATTGTTCCACCAGTTTGCAGTGTGATTGGCTGGAGCATTGCAGTATGCCAAGGACTGACAAGTGGGCATGCAAGCAGGATGATGCATTAAAATGACTAGCCACGGGAAGGTCAGGGTTATGCTCACACCTAGACCGGAGGTGTTCTGCAAAGCAGTCACCCAATCTGCCTTTGGTTTCTCCATCTAGAGTAGGCCACATCGGTCTATTGCATTTGCTGTACCCAGATTGGAGGAGGTACAGGTGA